ATTTAACCTAGCTCTACCATGTTCTCTCAATACCGTATATATATATAGGTGTACGTTTCTCCAATAGTTCATCCTCCCTCACCTTTCAATAAATTTCTGAATATCAAATTTCATCTTACTATTATGTCTTCTTTCACCGATCTCTATTCCGTGAAGCCCTTCAAAACTCAATGGAGAGTTTACGTGAAGATACTGAAGGTGTGGAAACAATATTTGAATGGTGTAGAGACATTGGAAATGGTTGTTGTTGATGAGAAGGTATACTATCTATGTTACTTTTAAGATTTTGTACTCATCTATATATTTCACGACTGTTTTCATTTATTTTCATTTTTATTCAAACCTATGTATCTTTAAAGTATGCATATTCTTTTATATATACACAGAATCAAACCATGCATGTAACTTTGAAGAAGGAGTTTATCAAGAAAAATGAAAATCTGTTAGAGGAAGGTGCCTCTAGAATTATCACAAATTTTCAAGTGGCTCATAACGGTGGTAAGTTCAGGACCAGCCCTCACGTTTACAAAATCCTTTTCGCATCAACTACATCTGTCAAACCGACAGATGAAATGGATCCAAGAATCTTAGGTTTCAAGTTCGTCAAGTTTAGTGATATTCACGAAGGCAAAATGAATCCAGATTTCTTGATAGGCAAGTTTGTTTAATTACTAAATTATTTATTTGATATATAGTTTGTTTGCGTAATTAGAAAGTACTAACATGATTTCTTTTACTTTAGATGCTGTTGGACAAATTGTGAGCATTGGAGATGTGGAGATCTTGAATGTTGGAAAGAGACAGACAAAGAGGCTTTCTATGGAGATCCGTGATACAGAGTTAGCATTTACATTACTAATCTATCACTAATGCTCTATATATTTACTATTTGTGTATAGTATCCTTTTTCCTCAATTTTCTGTATCATTTTCAATGTAGAAATGTTCGACTTAATTGTGTTCTTTGGGGTCAATTCGCTGAAAATCTTGAAAGTGTGGCTCAACATGCAAATGATGCTGTGATTGTTGCTGTTTTGCGGTTTGGAAAGTTAAAACTTTATCAAGGTGTTTGGAGTGTTGGCAATTGCTACAACTGTTCAATGGTCATTACTGATCCAGTCTTCCCAGAGAGTTTGGCTTTTAAAGAGAGGTAAAACTAATTATATCCATAATTTTATTTATTTTTCAAGTTTTATATTCTAAATACTATGTAATCTAATTTATACAGATTGCCAAAAGATGGTTTAATCCTGACCTATACCCATCCAAATCAGTTGACTATTGTCAATTCTGTATCAGTAAGGGACGATTTCTTCTTGCATAGTCATCGAAGGACTATTAGCGAGATTATTGCTGCTTCTGAGGTAATTATATATTATGTTAGTCCAATTTTTATAACATATATTTGATCCTAATATCATTATTAATTTTTCAAGGTTGTCAAATGTGTTACCATGGCCACAATTATGTCTATTGACACTGAGTTTGGTTGGTATTACATGTCATGCGGAGCCTGTTCTAAAAAGGTTCTCCCTCATGATATGGATTACTTAAAAGAACTGTATCCTGGGAAAACATTTAAGAAAAAATTGTGGCAGTGCAAAAAATGCAATGAGGATGTTGAGAATGTTTATCCATCGTAAGTCTGTTATTGTATTTGTGTTATAGTAAAGTTTTAACCTTTTATTACTTTTTACTTATACTATTTCAAATTATGATAGGTTTATGTTGACTTTCCGTGTCATGAATAATACTGGAGAAACTAAATTCCTCTTATTTGATCAAGAGGCAAAAGAAGTTGTAAACCAAACTGCTGCTCAGTTAACTCAGTCTGTTAATGAGGTTCATATTTATACTGCATTTGTCCATGACAGTATTTTATTTGATCTATTTAAAATTTATTAAATTCCTCTTTGTTTAGGTTCAGGATCCTGATGTCTTGCCCTTAGCTTTGAGCAATATTTGTGGTAAAACTTTTCTTTTCAAGATTGCAATTGCAAGCTCAAATGTTGTTTTCAATAGTGACTCATACAAGGTCATCAGTATAATTACACAAAGTGATGTGGTTAAGGAGTTTTCTGAAATCTCTACTCCTCAGGTACAGTTATAACATTTTGATATCACTTATTCTGTATAAAGTAATTCTTTATTGCTTACCATACATTACTTTCACATTTCATAGAGCACTCCAAGTATCAAGATAGAGGAAAAAGCTCACAATGCTCTTGATGAAAAGGTATATTTATTTATTCTGATTTCTTACATTCATGTTTACTATTATATATTGCTTTCATTCTTACAGATTATTTAATATGTTATAGATTCCTCTAATGATTATGGATGATGATGATGCTGAAATTACACCTACTTCTAAACGCAAAAGCAATGAAAAGTTGGAAGTGATTAAGGATACTGATGAGTATTCAGCTGCAAAGAAGAAGTGTAAGGATGAGAAAGCTGTTCAGACTAATCCAAGTACTCTACCGCTAAAGACCGTGAAAACAGAGAAGCCATGATTTAAGAACCGAAATCAGTTATTGGAACTACTTTGTTATGCGTTTATCCGTCTGAATTATTGTTTCTTTTATCGTTATTTTTTATTGAACTTTGCTTCTTGATTGAAATTTTGTAATCGGATGGTTATTATTTATTAATATTTTGATTTCGTTCATTACTGATAGTATTTTGTTTATGTATGAAGTCGTTTTAGTAATTTCATAATTTTTCTTTAAACATCGTATGATCATCATTCAAATGATATCACTTATATATTAAATACTATACAAACATCATTAGCTTATAATCAAATTTTTATGTATTCTATATTATTTATTTCTAAATGGAAATTTCCTAAATTTGTAACAAATTACATATACTTATACGAATATATACATCCAAAAATACCTATAACTACTAACCGAAAACAAAGTCATCAATTATCACGTATATGGATAATGTATTAAAAATTATATCTTTTAACAGTACTACTTACTTTACTTAACTATATTTATCCTTTTAAGTTTGGCAATTTGTAACTAAATTGATTCTTTCTCTATATTTATTATCTATATTTGTGGATTTAGATATAAGAATTTAAATGTAGAATATTTGTTTTCGTATTCATAAGGGATCACCTTTAATTTGAATTTTATAACAAACAACTATTAATTCATATAAATAAACTTTTCCGCTTCATAGCGTTCTTCGTGTTGACGTTTACCACTATTTGCATGTATGTTCACTTTCTTATGCAATGCATAGTTCAAAGAAAAATCGGCATGGATACGAAAATGATGAGAACCAAACTAAAAAAAAAAAGAAGATCGCATCTACCAGTCAAACACAATCAGCAAAGCCTATGTCTGGTGCTTTTGATATGATTTTTAGAGATTTAAGCAATTCAAATGATTTTGTGAGGAGTTCAAGTCGGATTACATCAGACATATCTATTTCAAGTGAGTTTTTATTTATTATTTGCTTTAATCAAAATTTGTATACTTCACATTCTTTTAAAAGTGTGTTGTTTTATTTGTTTAATTACATAGATGAAATTCTTAGAGATGTCAGCAATCCTGGTTGTTTATCTATACAGTCAAACACACCTAAAAATCAACAGTGTATGTGAACTATGTTATATTTTATAAATCGTTTTATGAATTATCTTATATATTTTATGTGTGTTCTTCATTTTTTCCTTCATGTAGCATTACCAAGTTTAGAAAAAAGAAAACATGCCACCTGTAAAGAGACCTTTGCAATGCTCACCATCTTCTGAAGAAACGGGTTACCTATATCTCAACTACCATTTTTATTTCTTGCTTTTACATATATTAAGCAAATTTGTTTACACATTCAATGTTAAAATATATTTTTGTTTTCAGGCCTTAGGTTTGGTCGAATTTTATCTGAAACTCAATTGTCACAGCCTAAAATTGCAAAACGTAATACAACAGTTCCTGATCTAAACCTAGCAAGCAATGATATTCATGGTACTGGTATCCAATCATCAAGTGATACTAATAGACAAGAAACCACTACCTCTAATATTACATATGCGACACCCCCATCTGTTGTTAGCAAAGCTCGAAGAATTCCTAATTCACAGAGGCTAGATTCTGGTATTCCTAAATATGTACCTTTACAGTCAAGTAAGAATAATTTCATTTACTAATAGTATAATGAATTTATAAATTTAATCTATTTAAATTATTAACTCATTGTTTGTTTTTGAATTGTATTATCAGATAGGATCCTTACATCAATTGTTAGTAATATATCTGAATTGACAACCTCGAATCAAACGTATGCGACGCCACCATCTGTTGGTAGTAAGTCTCGAACAAATCCTGCTTCACAACCGCTTCATTCTGATCTTCCTAAACCAGTACATATCGGTCCCAATAAGATTTCTGATATCTAAATTATGTATATTAATTAAAATATAACATTTGTTTAAATTTAATATTTATTGTTATATGTTTTCACCAGAAAATACAAACAGGAATGCAACAAGCTCACACACTGTTGAAGGAATAGAGAAGTCATGTATCCTTATCCTATTCAAATTATAAGTTTTTTAACTTAGTTTTAATTTATCTTATCGTTGAATTTATATTAGTGTTATCTTAACTCTCAATCTAAGTCATTATGTGGTGGAACTCTTCTATTGATAAAATCATTGATACACAAAGAAAAAATCAACTATCTAAATCTTTGTTCGAGAGACAGCGAAAGGCTAGACATAACAGGACACGTTTAATGAAAGGGATTAAGTTTAACGAAAGGCCTAATGGAACTGATACTATAGCAGATGATTATGATCATGAACGTAAACCTGTTATATTGGAAAATGGTTATGTCTCTAACATTACACTTCTATCGATCCTTTTTCAGTTATATTCTTATCAGGACTAAATGTTTAATTATGTCGAATGTTGTATTACCTCAGGATATTATGATGATGGAGATCCGATGTATGAATACATACACTGCAAAGCAAAGATGTGGTTTAATGAACGAATTCAGAAAAAGAAGAAGAGTGCAACATATAAATTTACTATATGTTGTTTGCAGGGGAAAGTGAAGCTACCCTTACTTAACCAACCTCCTCCATTTTTGATATATCTCTTCTCGAGTGATGATGAAATTTGTCGCCATTTTCGTGAGAATATCAGAGCTTACAACATGATGTTTTCTTTTACATCTATTGGTGGAAAGATAAATTACGATATAAACAAGGGTCGTGGTCCACCCGTATTCCAACTACATGGTGAAAATTATCACTTAATTGGTTCTTTGATTCCTAAGAGGAAAGAGAATCCAAAGTTCTGTCAGTTGTATATCCATGATACAGCTAATGAGATAACCAACAGAGAGAAATCAATCAGGTATACACTTTACGCACTATTTTAATATCCATTAACATTATTTTTTATCATACATTATATTTAATTATGCACTTTCTACTATTTCAGAAAGAATGTCTCTAACTCGACCAAGTTAAGGCCGGCATTAATTGAATGTCTCATGAAGATGTTAAACTTTTGTAATCCAATGGTGAAAGCTTTCCGTTCCTACAAAGACAGATACAATATTCAACAACCAGAAGACAACTTCAAGTTAGTTCTCATTGCTAACAGGAATAAAGATGCTAGAACACATAACATGCCAACATCCACAGAAGTTGCAGCATTGATTCCGGGAGATTTTCAAGAAGGAATGGATTTACGAGATATTGTATTAGAGACTACACACGGAAACCTCAGAAGAATTAGTGAACTCTATGTGGGTTATCTAGCTCTTCAGTATCCATTATTATTTCCATATGGTGAGGATGGATTCACCGTTGGAATTGAAGACGGTTTTGATGACGGCAACAAACGGAAACGGAAGACTATAAGCATGCGAGAATTCTATGCTTATAGGATTCAAGATAGGTTAATGGAATATCAGTCCGTAATTCGGTCTAAACGATTGTATCAACAGTTTCTGGTTGATGTGTTTACTATGATAGAGTCTAGCCGACTTCGATATTTCAGGAAAAATCAGAAGAAGCTTCGTTCAGACAAGTATGTGAATCTGGTTGAGGCTGAAAAGGAAGGAAACTCTGATTTATCCAACAGAGGTAAGAGAATTTTGATACCTGCATCATTTACCGGTGGTTCACACTATATGAACAATAAGTATTTGGATGCAATGGCAATCTGTAAGCACTTTGGATTTCCTGATCTTTTTATAACTTTCACCTGCAATCCAAACTGGCATGAGATAATTAGATATACAAAGAAGCGAAAGTTGAATCCTGAAGATAGACCAGATATCTTCTGTAGGATATTCAAAATTAAGCTAGACAGCCTCATGAGTGATCTCACTGAAAAGAATATTTTCGGAAAAAGTGTTTGTGGTATGTTAAATTTATATTTGTAATCTTTGTATTTATATTTTGATTTATATTGTTATGGTACTTCTGATTGGTTTGTTTTATATTAACAGGTATGTATACTATTGAATTCCAAAAAAGAGGTCTTCCACATGCACATATTCTACTATGGATGGCTGAAAAAAACAAATTGTCTACTGCTGAATCTATTGATAAGGTTATTTCTGCTGAGATTCCTGACAAAGATACTGATCCTTCTTTGTATGAAGTAGTGAAGCAAAACATGATACATGGACCTTGCGGAGTGATTAACAAAAGTAGTCCATGTATGGTCAATGGGAAGTGTTCTAAGCAGTTTCCAAAGAAATATTGTGAAAGAACTACCATTGACAACAGAGGCTTTCCACATTATATGAGAAGGAAGACTGGCGCATTTGTTGAGAAGAATGGTCTAAAAATTGACAACAGTTTTGTTGTGCCTTATAATAGAGAGCTATCATTGCGATATAGAGCTCACATCAATGTGGAATGGTGTACTCAGGCAAGGTCAATCAAATACCTGTTCAAATATATCAACAAAGGACCTGATCGTGTTCTAGCTACTATTGAAAATGATTTAAATCAAGGCGCAGATTCTGTAGCATGCGCCAATGTAGATGAAAACGGCGAGGATACTACAGATGAAATTAAAGAGTTCTTCGATTGCAGGTAGTATTTAATTGGATAGAGATTGTAGGCATGTTTTATAAGTTGCATTAGTTTTTATTACATACTAAATCTCTACTGTTCTATTGTTATGTAGATATGTTTCTTCATGTGAAGCTACATGGCGTTTGCTAGCATTTCTAATCCATTTTAGGACAACTCCAGTGGAGAAACTCTATTTTCATATAGAAAACGAGCAATCAGTACTTTTTGATGATGATGATCTAGTTGAAACTGTTCTAAATCGCAGGTCAGTACAGAGCTCAATGTTATTAGCATTTTTTGAAGCTTGCAATAAGTATCCAGAAGCTGAAAACCTAACATATGCTGAGTTTCCTACAATGTTTGTTTATGATCGTACAAATATTGAATGGAAACCAAGGCAACAGAAAAATAGGTTAGATGTTGGTAGAATAACCTATTTACCTCTTAAATGTGGCCAATTGTACTATCTTCGTGTTCTACTCAACCGACACAAATGTCCTAAGGGGTTTGATGATTTGAAGACAGTTGATGGTGTTTTACTTCCTACATACAAAGATGCATGTTATGCATTGGGTTTACTAGATGATGATAGAGAATATATAGATGGGATTAATGAAGCAAGCATGTGGGGTTCTGGTGACTTCCTTCGAAAGATGTTTTGTGTTATGCTATTGACTGATAGCCTAATTAATCCATTTGGAGTTTGGGAAGAAACTTGGAATTTGCTATCTGGTGATATTCTTTACAGAAGAAGATCTTTTGAAAACAATCCAGGTATTTCATTAATTTTTTAAAAACTGTCTATAACTATATATGTTATGTATACAATAATACTTTATGTTAATATGAAGTATTGGATTTCAATACATATGACGTGATCATTTCGCAGAACTGGACCTCTGTGATGAACAGCTCAAAAATTACACATTGGATGCAATTGAGACTATACTGCAAAGCAATGGTTGTTCTCTTTCAAATTATGATGGAATGCCTTTGCCGGAGGGTGATTACAACACAGCTGGTATCAATAGGTTAATATACGATGAAAGAAACTATGATAGAGAAGAAATGAAGGCTATCATAGAAAACATGGTTCCTGGTTTAACTGACGAGCAGATGAATGTCTATAAAGAGATCATGGAAGCTGTCACAGAAGATAAAGGAAGAGTATTTTTCTTATATGGGTTTGGTGGTACTGGAAAAACTCATTTATGGAAACTACTATCCGCTACTGTTCGTGCTAGAGGTGAAATCGTTTTGAATGTTGCAAGTAGTAGAATAACATCTTTGTTATTGCCTGGTGGTAGAACCGCACATTCCCGTTTTGGTATACCAATAAACCCAGATGATGACACTACTTGCAATATTCAACCTGGAACAGACTTAGGAAATTTGGTTGCTGAGTCATCTCTTATCATATGGGACGAGGCACCTATGATGAGTAGATATTGTTTTGAAAGTTTGGATCGTACTATGCATGACATTATTAAGCGTCATAAGGATAAACCATTTAGAGGAAAAGTTGTTGTGTTTGGTGGTGATTTTAGACAAATTTTGCCAGTTACACTGGTGGAGGAAGGGAAGACATTGTTATGGCTTCTATTGATTCGTCATATTTATGGGATGATTGTAAGGTGCTCAAGCTTACAAAAAACATGAGGCTTTTGGCTAATCTTGATGAAAGCGTAGCAGAGGAAATCAAATCATTTTCAGAATGGATTCTTAAAGTTAGCGATGGTAAAATTAATCTACCAAACACCGGAGAAGTTATGATTGACATTCCTGATGAGCTTCTAATAAAAGAATGTGATGATCCCATTCAATCTATTGTCCAGGAAGTTTATGGTTTAAGTTTTGAAGAGCAATCCGATCCTCACTTTTACGATGAAAAGGCTATTTTGTGTCCAACTAATGACAATGTTTGCCTCATCAATGATTACATGCTTTCTATGTTGACAGGTAAACACAATTACCATTGTTTATCGTTTAATTCATTTAGTTTTTAAGTTTAGTTATCATATTTATATACTATACTGATATATCTATAAATTTTTTATTATCAAGTTGAGGAGAAGACTTATCTAAGTTCTGATTCTATAGATCCATCTGATACATCTAACCAGGATAGCAGAGTATATACTCCTGACTTTTTGAATAATATAAAGTTGTCTGGTCTTCTTAATCATTCTTTGAGATTAAGAGTAGGAACACCAGTTATGCTATTAAGGAATATAGATCCAAAGGCTGGTTTGTGCAATGGTACAAGGCTACAAATCACCCAATTAACTGATCATATCATCGAAGCTATTGTTTTAACTGGTGACACTCATGGTCAGAAAGTTTACATTCCAAGGTTAAATGTCGCACCTCCTGAAGGAAAATTTCCATTCAGAATGCGAAGAAGACAATTTCCTTTGGCTGTCGTTGCCTTTGTTATGACCATAAATAAAAGTCAGGGTCAAACACTTTCAAGCGTCGGTTTATATCTGCCAAAGCCTGTTTTCTCTCATGGCCAGTTATATGTTGCTCTATCTAGAGTAAAATCAAAGGATGGGTTAAAGGTGCTTATTATTGACAAAGATGGTAAATCTCAGAAACAAACAATGAACATTGTATTCAAAGAAGTGTTCCTGAAGATATAGTTTCAACATTACTGGTAAGTTATAACTTGAACACTATCTACATTTGCTTAGTATGATTTTTTAATTAACGTGTATGATGGATTTGTAATGTATTCAGGAAGTTGCAAGTAATGCTATTGATGTCGAGTTGGTGCAAATGATCCTGATATGTTCTGTTGTCAGCAATTTGGTCTATTATTTGATATTTATATACTATTTCCCTTAATACATTCACTTATGTTGTATTGGTTACTCAATTTGGATGTATGATTTTTTCACACAGCTCATATGTGACTTTGATATATATCGTCGTATAATTTGTTTATATAGTCGTAGGTTACTTATTTACGTTATAAGTAATTGAGTTTTTGACAGATTAATATCCTGATCACTTCATATCAGCCTCATATGTAAACAAACATAAATTAATCAAATTTAGTCAAGTACATTATTTAAACATTAATTAAAAATGGTTTATATTATGTTAATTAATTAATATGAATTATTAAAAACATTTTTGAATTATATTTATGGTTATTTTAGATTTCAATATATATTGCACGAAGATATCGACTATGTATATCCCGAATATATCTCTATTAGTTAGTTTCCCTTATACATATTAGATATTATTTACTTGAATACGCTATCAAAGAAGTTATCCCTTATATAAATACTCTGTTGTGTAAAATTTGTCAGCCATTTGCAAGAACTTTGATATATAATACCATCATGATTTCTACTTACGATTCTATATCTGATTTAAATCCGTCTACTACTGATTGGAAAATAAGGGTTAAAATTACTAAGAAGTGGAAACAATATACTCCACATCGAGGAATTACTCTTAATATGAAACTATATGACGAAGAGGTAAAGTGTAGAATTCATTACATTCAATTTCTGTTTTTTACATAATGAATACTTTCAAAAACCTGTACTTTTCTTCATTTTACAGGGTCATACAATTTGTGCTACAGTTTACAGAAAATACATGCAATTCTTTGAGAATAGTATTGTAGAAAACTCATGGTTTGTAATTGAAGAGTTCACTCTTATTCCCGTTAATGCTGAATACATTAACACAACATCCCTTTTCAATATTCAGTTCATAATTTCTACAACTATCACTCCTATCAGATATGTCGAAGGAATTTAAATTATATTTATTTAATATTATTGTTTCATACCATGCATGTTAATGAAATATCAGAACTCTATTGATGCAGTTTGTAAAACCAGTCTCCAAGGAATTAGATGTATCTACCATTAATAATGATAGTAAGTATTGTGTATATTCAGTTATTATAATAGAAATTTTATATTATTTCGAACTCAATAATTTTTTGCTTACTCACTATTGTTTTTTTCATTTGACAGCATTTATAATAACTGCAAGTGGTTATATTCGAGCACAAGCACAAATCAACATATTATTTTCCATAAGCACTTTTAAATTTTTTAGACTATTATATTGTTCTTTATCAAATTTCCAATTTGTGTGGAGGATAATAAATTAAGTTTTGTTTGACATAAGTAACTTTTCTGTTTTTAATATTACGCATGTTTTATAATAATCTCCAAACTATGCAGTTACCAAAATATAGACATTTCGATAATCAGATTTACATTATTCAAGCGTGATATATATTCTTTATATAATCGGTGATGCGTTTTCCTTTTGTAACATTGTAACACTTATGTACATATTTGAACAATATCAAATATTCTCTGCTGCTTTCTAATTGATTAGAAAATACAATGACATAAAACTGTTTTCCTTTTATGTTTTCAATACATATATTGAGTGGCTGTGTAAGTTCCTTTTTCGATATGATAAAATATACTGTTTAAATCGATGACATATTTGGATATTTTGAATAAAATAATATATCATTAATTTGAAAAGAAATCTGAAAACATTATTGTTTCCTAGATAAGAGAGATCTCATTACCCATTTTTTCAAACTTTCAGTTACTATTTTCTAGAACCAAAAAAGCTCTCTCGCATATACTTCAATGGAAGACTATGACCTAATTTCAGATCTGCATTGTGACCAAACAAATTGGACTATAAGATGCAAAGTTTTGAAGAAATGGCATGTAAAATATCCAAAAGAACGTCTATCGTTACAGTTTCTGTTGATGGATGAAGAGGTATTTAGTTTGTATTTATTCACTTATCTTTTAAACTTTTTGTTATACTATATTTAACCAGGTTTTTGTATTATATAAATTACTAATACATACAGGGTGAAACTATTCAAGCTTATCTCTATATTACCGATTTAATTAAATCATTCGACAAGACAATTGAAGAGGGTGAATGGAAATGTTTTTCTGAATTCGTGGTCTTTGATGATACATCGGATGAACCAAATTCTCCTATTGGTAGTTGTATCAGGTTTCTAAATAACACAGAAGTAGAAGACATAGATCCTATCGATTTTGAAATTGTACAAGATTTTGTTTCATTTTCTGATGTGCATGGTGATAAACCAGAGCCTGGTCTTCCTATCGGTATATTTATGCCTTTACTTAGTAATCTTATTTTAGACTATAGTTTCATTTATTTATAAAGTTCAATTGATTGGAATGTGTTGTTTGCACTTTGAAAATTTTCTTTTTCAGATATTCACGGTTTTGTTATCAGTATTGATCCTCTGGTCACTGTAAATGATGATTCCTACCCTGAGAGACATGATAAAAAGACTACCAGTATATCATTCACATTGAAGGATTACAAGTAAGCTCAATTTTTTCTTTTTCATTTTTACCATTTTCTCTATCTGATTAAATATTCTGTTTATTTGTTAATATTAAAATTTGAAATTTCTATGTAGGGGGTTATTATTATCGTGTGTTGCATTAGGACCACTTGCACTTGATTTTAATGACAAGATTTTCAGTGAGGAACAATTACCATTTGATGTTATGTTAACCGACTGGTCTGTTAAACAAGGAGAAGGTTAGTTTTTGTATACCAATAATATTGATTAATTATTTAATGGTGTATAGCTTTGTATATGAAAATAACAATTCTATTATTTTCCTAGATGAATACTATCTTCGGTCTAGAGGAGAGATTTCTAGAATCGAGTTTCATCCTGACTGTCCAAAAGCCAAAACTTTGGTTAGAAGGTAAATTGTTATAGGCAGTCACATTATAATTTAATAAAATATGTAGCTTTTTGAATTACTGCTTACATGAATTTATTTATCTGCAGGTTGTGGAATAACCAAAATAAACCTACCAATGTCATTGATTTGGGTAGTAATGATGATGAGGCAAGTCCATCTTCCGTGAAGAGTAGAGACTGATTGAATTCAAAATTTATTATCTTTGTATAATTCTATACTTTTGAATTATGGTATTGGTTTCTATGTTTTTATCTACAATGAATATTATGTGATGTTTTAAATATTGGAGATTCTTACTTTTTATGACTTTACCATGAAATATGTAGTAACCATATTTTATCTATTATGTTTAAAATGTGTGAATTTTTATTACTACATGTTTTTAAATATGATATTGAATCTTAAATATACTGGTTTAACGTTCAGTTAAACTAACTATAGAGTCGTAATTGCATATGTATTCGTATTATAATGTTTGGAAAAATCAAGAACGCAAAATCACGCATAGAAAATTTAAGTCAAAGTTTCTATGTTAAAAATTTAGTAACAACTACTTTAATATCGTTTGGTAGTTGGTTTGTTGCTGAATACTTAAATTTATGACCTGTGCATGCAAAGTTAAGATATTGAATTGATTTGATCGATATCTGATTGCAGCTTTTATTAAGTGCTATTTTCATACATATATATTTTTGCATGTATATATTTAGATTGAGGAAACTTTACAAACATAAATATCACTTTTCAAAGTTCATATCTATGTATATTTTATACAGTAATGACATCTTCCTTTTAAATTTATAATATATTAATTACTAATACTATAGTATATGGTTTATAAGTATTGTAGGAAATAAAAATATTCGCCACATTTATAATTTTATATCCCTTGGATTCGCAACATATAGTTTATGAAGTGTACAAACATGAATAAATATAGTAGTTGAAAGTTTGCATAAATATTCATGTGATTTGATAGGAGTATACTTATATCTTTACATCTGTAACTTCCTTTTTATGCACTCGGAATATAAACAGAGACATCTACTGACATCTTACACTGATTGAAATATATTCGGTGAACGTATTCCTTTTTTAACAAATTAAATGAACCATTTTTGTATTTACTACACTTAAATGTTTACAAACAATCGCGACTTTAGAGTAGTTAACCGTCTATGTTTTATATATATATATATATATATATATATATATAAGGAACTTTTTTCTTCCATAACTTCATCCTTCACAAAGAGAAAACCTAGAAATTTAACATCAATATCTCTGAGTAAAAAAGATGGCCGAATATCAAATGGTTAGTGATTTAACACCATGGGAGGAATACAAGCAAACCATCAAAGTGAAAGTTCTCAAGCGTTGGGAGACTGTTGATTCAAACGGAAAGGATGGGATGTATTTCATCCTGGTTGATGAAAGTGTAAGTTTTGTGTTTTCAAAAATAAGTTATTTATTTTTGCAAAGTCTTTTTGTTGTGTATTTTTAAATTTTTATTTTTTTACTCTAGGGATCTCGAGTTGCTGCTACCGTTGTTGATGAAACGCAACTCTCATATTTTCAACATGTCTTTCAAGAAGGAGTTTGGGTTCGGATTTCACAATTTGGCTTGGCTAATTCCGGGTGGAATGATAGATCCACTAAACATGCTTACAAAATCATCCTCTCTCAGAAAACAAATGTGAATTCTATCAGACCATTAACGGACGATCCTTTCATCAGTTTCGTTGATTTTGCGAGTGTTATTAACCGTCCTTATTCTCACTATTATCTGATTGGTTAGTTTCTTTTACTATTATTTGTAATTTTTATAAAATGCAATATTTTCATAGTGGTTTGCATGTATGCGTAAAAGGTTTATGTTAAGTAAAAATGGACATGCAATAATTTATCTGTTTAAAATACAGATTTGCTTGGTGTTTTCGACAAGAATATCAGAGATATTGTTGAAGATGTTGGTAACGATGGGAAAACGGTTTCAACTCTGCATTTTCGTATCACTAATATCGAGTAATAACATTCTTAAGTTAAATTTTTTTTTTATTTAAATGTCTTTTAGTATTAATTTTTTTCCATTTTTAGGGGTAATACACTTGAGTGTGTTGCACATGGTGATTTGGCCTATTATATAAAGAAAAAATCTAACGGTGAGGTACTGAATGGACCAACTTCCATATGTGCATTGACTGATTGGATGGTGAAGAAAAGCATAAGTAAGTAATATCATATAGTTAGCTTTGTTTTTGTACCATATATTATAATGGATTGGATATAATTGTAATATGATGAATTTTTGTTTATATAGATGAAATTACTATCAATAATTATGAAGGAGGAAAGCTATCACGTTTCTTGGTTCATCCACCACTCGATGAAGTTTACAATCTACGGGCTAAGTAATAATTTTATTTTTTTACTTATTACATGTATAAATCGTTTGATTGATATACTTATACTTAGTTATGTTTTATTTATCTTTTTTTCAGGATGTGGGTAAATGTGAGAAATTTGGCCCACAATGCTTCATCTTCTGGATCAAGAAATGCTTAGTTCGGCCCATCTCAATCTTATCTTAATATCTATCTTTTTTTTTAAGACTTTAATCTAAAGGAGTGATGTCCTCCTATGTTATTGCATGTTAAGACTTTAAATTATTTTGAATTTCGTTTAATTTTAAATATTTGCTGTTATCTTTTTAATTTATGTTTTGAAATCTATTTTATTTTCAAATAATTGTTGCATGTTTTAATCAGATTTTAAATTATACCAAACAAATGAAACTAATTAACTTAAATAATTAGTTATCATGATTATTATTTAACTTAAATCTGTTTACATTTATTTAACTTAAACAAATGAAACTAATTAACTTAAATCTGTTTACATTGTTATTTTATCAGTATCACACACTGAACAATTATCTTTTTTATTTTAACTATATTAAATATATTTTATGTTATCATGATTATTATAATTTTCACAAGATTACAATTTATGGAACTAAATGATCTTATAAAACGAATACTATCGTTCATTTTTAAATTTACTTAATTAACAACTTTGTAATTTAATTTTATTCTAGTACTAACGATGTAACCACAAAAATAATAAATGAGTTAATAATGGATGTATATTAAAATATTTTGCTAAATAATTAATGGAGATATTTGTTCTTATTTGTTCTTACTTGCTATATGTCCAATTCTTTGTCTCCTTATATTTCAGGATTTGGAAAATATAATGACTAGATTTCCGGAAGAATTTATATATGATAGCAATATTATTAGAACCTTTATGTTTAGGGTTCAGCATTCCTTAAATTAATCATTGTTAATATTTGATTGCATATTCTATAATTATCTTTCCTAAGTTACGCGAGATAACACATATAATGAATATATATGTAACAAATCA